ACGTGTTCTATGTGGGGATACTGCGAAGGCCGTGACAATAGGTGCTTATGACGGTTTCACGCCTTCGCAGGCCACTAGTAGCCTGGGTAACAGTGCTTTTGAGGTGTAGCACAGGTGTAAACACGCATATAGTCGGTACAAGTGTGAGTGAATTGGGTAAGGATGGGAGCAAATTCACTTTTCATCCCTCCGCTAATACTATCGTCTTCGTTTCTTTCATCGTGTGCACTGAATCATACCCGCTAACAGAACAGCCCACAGCTGCGTGTGGTCACAGCCAGTGGCCCACAATCTTTGCATGACCTTATGAGCAGGTGTGCCGTTGTGGGTGTGTGTGTAAATGGGCTTACGTGTCGCCAGTCCACTGCTACCATTTATCAAAAGTGACCCAGAATTGCCGCAGACAAGCCCAAATGCGAGAACTGAGAGTTCACATCACCTTAAAAATGAGAGGAGGAAGCCACAAGCCGATGGGCAGATAAATTACGTAATTGGCTTCGCCTCGCATATCCCAATGGCCAAGTGTCAAAAGATAATGAGGGCAAACATGTAAAATATTGTTTTCCAAGGTACGCTACAGGCAGTAATGGCAGAAAATAGATTTGGGCTGCCTACCAAAGCAACACTCTGCGTCTAAAATAAGCGATGCATAATTTTGGAATGTAGATGAGTTACAAGTTGTTATGCACCACTCGATTTTCAAACATATCCTCTAGATGAAAGGAAATCAACTTTGCTGCTAAGTAATCGGTACTGCTTCTCAAGCAGGAAGCAAACACTACTGGAACAAAATATTCATGAATTGTGAAATCCCTATGCTTCTCCTTACACATGGTGCTCTCTCATAATCACTCCTTTTCACTTTAAGAGCTTGAACGTAAAAAGGACCAACGAAAACTGTAAACTGTGCAAAGGTGCAAATGCCTTCTGTAAGTGATCAGAGTCCGCTTAAAAGCCATGAAAACCTGTTTAATTTCGATTTTTGACGCAAACCTGTCAGCAAAATAATCCTGTAGGTATCCAGTTTTTTTGGATAAGAAAGCAGAGTAAAGGCGATAATTCATTATATGTACTCAATTCCATTTAAATGACTCACGAAAACGACTACTTAATGGTTGTGATTTAAGTAGCATCAGGCGTGCTGGTCCCGTGCAATTTATGGAAACCGGCGGCGAATAAAGCAATCAAATTTGCCCACAGATAAGTAATTGGACCATATATAACAATTACATAACACCAGAGGTGGCTTTTGCTTAATATTTACACTTAGGACCCACTTTATGATGCGCATCGTAACAAAAGCCATCCAGGTGGTGCTTTGGCCAGAGGTCCAAATGTACTAGTGTCGTCTTTATTGAGGCTTGTCGAATAGGCCTGCAAAGATGCTTAAGCTCTCAAAGTCTGATAAGACTATCAATTTGTGATGGAGCTGAAGAAAGGCTGCTTTGTATTTGACATAGTTGAAGCTTTTTCATGATCTGGATCTCGTTTACCTCGTCTTCCACATCGGGTCAACCGAGAGGGTCAATGAGCGTTTTGGTTATTCTTCGAATCCGGCTGGCATCACGCGTGTGAACGAAAGAATGTACAATGTCCAGAGAAAATGTGTACAATCGACGTAAGAGAGTTTCACTCAATGGGAATGCAAATGGGAAGCCTTGAGTGGTCGTTAAAAAGAGGAACTTGAAGAATGGGAGCAAGAAACACAGTAAAAAAGACTATTTCATGCCATGGACCAGTAAAAGATGATGACATAATGGGAGGTAAACAACTGCATAGCACTTCCTTGTTTGATCATTTTGGTGAAACAATGCATCATTATGCCCATATGATTAAGTATTAACTCAGAACCCTATAATGGGAGCTAAAATAAACTGATGATTGTAATTTAAGCACGTCTGTTGCTTTGTTCAAGCATGATTCAAGAAATGGATCAAATGCCTCGAGTATATCACCGAGTCATCAAACGATACTGACCGGGATCAGCTGGGTAGGCTTGATGCATTATCGAGTTGTCACTTCCTCTTTTAAACTTAGGCCATTTTAGACGGATTGAACAGCGTTGTTTGAGTAGAGACAATGCGTTCATGACTGGCTGCACACTAATAAGGCACGATGAGCCCTGAGGACCGCAAATGTTTCGGCGTGTGAAGTAGAGGCTGAAGGGACTGATTTGCTTATAGATAGATCGACCTATTCGATACCACTGGAAGTAGCCTAAGGAAGACCCTGCCTCTATTAACTAAATAATAAAGATGTGGGGTAAGGCGATCGTCTCAGGTTGACGATGTACTGCAATGCAGTCTAGGAAACTCGAACTTCGAGACAAGATGGAGGTGGAGAGAAGCTGCCGTCACACACTCCATCCGGTAATGACTCGCTAGACTCAAAACAATGGTCAGCTTTTTGTAGTATTGACTGTGAACAATCCTTTGCAGAACAGAAAGCAGGCTGGAAACCGAGATGGCACCATCTACATTCTTAGTTTCCACAATGCGACTACATTCATTTGAGTGAGTTTTTATTGCTGCAAAATAGTGGGATAGGAGATTGCTCTGTCGACTTCACAGTGACTTCAAAGTTTCACTTCAGCACCTGACGTTAGATTATCCGTACCTCCCAATCACCGCATCCACTTGCAATTATTTTGTTTTAATATACAGAAATACTTGGAAAATCGCATGACTAAATGCATAACGTTCCCAATCCACACACCAACACGAAAATTTTTGAGGCGTTCGCTTCATTCTCTGAAAGAGTGCGACATTTCTGCTTTGATCACAATTGTCTCCGGAAAGCTGACAAATTTTGCGAGTTATTGGATTACCAAAAAGCAGCTGCCGTAGCTCACATTTAGCAAAAAAACTGAGAGCCACTCCCCAGGAATGCAAAATCACTGTACTTGCAAAAGTAAGCTACACTCTGTTCCCTTTTGAACGGCATTGCGTAGTATGAAATGGTCCTTTAAAACAAGTCCTTGCTCAATCAATTTTGCAAAAAAATGTGACACAGGAAATATCATCAAGGGTGGCATTTAATCAGGAAAATAAAGTAGTAAAATCCTTGAATTGCGAAGACATGCAAACGTGTCCTTACCTCACCGAAGGGGAAGAGACTATAAAAACGCCAACCGGGTGACATCCTGCCAGATAAAACGCACGACAGTCTCCACCATGTATGGCAGAAGCAAGCAAAAGGAGGCGAGAAAAGGAATACAATTGGCATATTTGTACAGGAATTAAATGCACAGAATCAGCAAATTCAGTGATGTCAGAAAAGTAGAAAGTTGTCTGCACCTCAGCGCAGCAATGCACTTGGGATTTTACTATGCGCTGGTTGTCGGTGTATGTATTCACGATTATAGTGTTTCCAGAGCGAAGAATGGGGGTGTAGGTATGCATGCGTGTGGGCATTTGTGGACATAAAAGTGGAGGACCCAAGCGTCTCTCTGTTCCCTATATGGCGAGGCATACAAAAATAGAGCATACACACGCTCGATTAGGATTTATGATTGGGAGAATAGATGAACAGCCTCTCACATACGTACGTATTCGTCATATTTCTCCGCTCTGTTTAAGAGTGAGTGAATGAAGGACACAGTCATGAAATGGATAACTGGAGGGATGTTTAGCAAGCTGGGGCGGGAGGACGTGTAAGTGGTCAAGCAAACAGGAAGACCAACAAATCAGGTGAGAATGAAGGAGATGGGTTGCTGCCGACACGTGCCAGCGCGCTGAGGAACGCTTATCATGCGAAAGGTGCCTTGACAGTCGAAAGTGTTGAGAGCTCGCCAACGCGAGGTCAGACCGGGGTAACCAGTGCCAGGGCAGCGGTTACCCAGCTCCGGGCGCATGTACTTGGGGTAGCAGACGGCACAAATCTGCTGTCCAGGGCGAAGCAGAGCTGTTGACAGCCAAGGATGGTCCGGTTCATAGCTGCGTTCAAACAAACTACCCCAGAGGCCTCGGAACCCACTACCTCGCCTCTGAGGTGGCACTCCAACGGCTTTGCAGGCATCGTTGGATTTGACTATTTCATAGTAGGCACAATACCTACATGGCGAATAAAAGCCAGTGATCATTCATTTTTGACAACTGACAATCGCTAATGTACGTCCAACAGCGAAAGTGTTGATTCAATGAGGCATTTTAAGTAATGTTATGATCGATGGTAATTTAAGACGAGAACAAGTTTCGATTGTCACTCCACTGGTTAAGTTGGTTTGAGGTAAATAGAAGGGTTTAGTTTGAGTTAAAACAAGTTTAAAAAATGAGATAAAAAGTTGGAAAGTTAGTAAGATCCTCAAATAGGCGACCTAAAGCTTTTTGAACACTTGCAAAGGGAACCTACTTCAAAACTGAAGTCTTGAAAAGCAAAAGTCTCTGAGTGTGCTAAACCAGACTCATTTGAAGGGTAAATAAAAGAACTAGACAGCGATGATCCATTTCAGAAGGGACCGAATTTATGCTCAACTGTTAAGTTGTCTACTTACAAAAGGGGTTGGCTGACATGATTGTAATTTGCTCATCAATTAGTGGATAAATCAACCGATCCGATTTAGTGAGAGTCAATGATGGCGATCCCTTAATAACCCCTTTTATTGGTCGATGAAGAGGCAACCCAACCGCAATGGTCCCACCTGGAAGCTGAAGGATCTAATATACGCAGGGGATGCTTGCATTTTCAGTATTCTTAATTTATTTCGCCGGCAAAAATGCACATTCGCATTGTTTCTATCCTGATGGTTCCTTTCTTTTGCTTCGCGTGAGATGCGACACGAATTCCGGCAGTTGTGCGTCCCTCTGTCCAGGTGCTTGATGGTACGCCTACAGAACCGCGTCTACACACACATGCAATACATATACGCAAACCAGAATTACTACATTGCGTAGTTTGCTAATTCTCTTTATCCGCCTAAAATTCACTTCCCTCCTTTTGGAACAAATATGTTAGAGTATGTACGGCTTCAAACGATGCAAAAAGCAGACAGCTACCCAAACTTACGGCTCTGGGTCCGGTATATCTGTTTTATTCTGTTGAATCAAACGCCCATAGTAGAGCTTCCGGCGAATGTCCCAACGCATGTCAAACTGCTTGATCTTCTCTTCCACATCTCCGTTTACCGGCAGTAGATTTGCAACTTCTAAAACAAATCAGAATGAACATAAAGAAAAGTACACTTTTTGGCAAATAATCCTCCATTTACCTCCGTATCGACAGGGATGGGCAAATGGGAACAAACTATGGAATAAGGAGGCGGAGCTAACTAGGAGAGAGCCTTTTAAGCCAACCTGAAGGTAGTTCCATATGGCGATAGGAGTTGTATTCCGACCTTCCAACGCGCCTTCGACTGCAGATATATCCACTGCAGGTTCGCGATTCCATGAGCAGTGGACACTGGTCGCCACCGTTGGCTGCCTCTCTTGTAATGCTTCGAGTTCGAGTCTGGTTACCTTTTCCACAAAGGCGGTTGCAAGGAGACCAGCGACTCCAAGCGCTCACATCGCAGTTAACTTCTTCAAACAAATCCAATACATTAAGTTGATTTAGACGCCAACGAAAAGCTGGGGGAATGTGGAGTTGACTTACTGGGCTTAGCACAGACATCTCTGTAGTCCCAGCAACAGTCGTTAGTTCGTAAACAGTAGTCGTCGCAAAAGCATTTTGCTGCATTTTGAAGGGATCGTCTGGAATTTGCTAATCTATAGCCCCGTGGAGTGTAACTATACGAAACTTGAGTGACAGGTATGACACCTCTGCAATTTGTTCGTCCGGTACAGCAAATCGGGTCGCCATCGTGGTTGCGACAAGAGCCACTTTTGTTTGCAGGATCGACACTTAAGCTATAAGCAGCCAGTAAAAGAAGCAGCGATGGTAGCTTCATTAGTGATGTAAGACCGTCTCTCAGCATCAGGAAACACCCTTTGTGGATGAGCGATATGCTAGCGGTGACCTGTTTTACGCCTTATATACCACGGAGTCTGGTTCGGGCCTGTTTGCAAGGTGATTGGCTGAGGGATGAAGCGCCGGATACGAATGGAGAGAACGGTTTGTCCAATTGCAGAAGTGTGTGACTTTGTCGGAATCGGGGGCATTGCGGCTTAGCAAATCTCCACCGCAGTCTAAAGTAGATTGGAAAGGAATAAGAAGAGCAAATAAATTTGATGGGATAGTTACACAATTATTGTGTTTTAAGTAAGTTCGAATAAAATTAGACTTTTGTAGGCCTTGGAGCGACTCCGCTTTGACCGATAGCCACTCTATCAAATTGTGCTGAATTAATTGATTCACGTTTCAATAACTAATCAAGAATTAGAGCCATTGCAATATAAAATAAACCTGAAATCTTCTTCCATGTTACAACGGTCTAGAGGTGTTTTCGTTTTAAGTAGTTCTGAAGAGACATTAGATCAAACTTTCGTCTTTGGATTGTACGCACTTTGTGAATTCAGTTGTGCGCGCCTAAGCATTAAAAATACATATGTAGGTAAGGAAAGAAAGTAATCGAGAAACTTAGAAGGCACTATTTGAGTCATGCAATTCCACATAAAATATCAAACTGATGGCTAAGGAACTACAATTATCTGCACAAAGTACAGAGCAACTGTACATTTGCTCACAATAAGAGTAAACACTTCCTGCCATTGAAATGGAGTCACTTTTTCTTATGAAAGCTGTATTAACCTGAGTACCAAAGCAGTCGTTTGTTCTTTTACCTCAAAGTTGCATATTGCCAACCTAGAAGTCTAACAATAAAGTAGCAATTTTCGCCGTTTAGTGGGTGGCCGCTTTGTTCATTTTCCTGTTGCTTGCACCCTTTTAAGCTTAGTTGGACTCGACCTTATGACTGTATCAGGGCAACAGGCTAATCACTACGGCTTTGGGATGGTTCGACTACTCTCAATTGGTTTTTTAACACAATGCCTTTCAAAGATGATAAAAATGTACTTTGGTTCTCGAGGTCGGCCCTTCCATTTAGACCAGATCAACTAACTTTGTGCTTCATCATAAATTTACGAGAAGAATGTCGCTTATTTGTAGATTCAGAACCAAATAAGGATTTTGAGGCCTCGAAGCAGCATGGCACTGTTAACTGCAATTTGAAGGCCGATTTCAATAAACGCAAAGTGTCTCTTGATATACCTTTGCTTTGAAAAGTAATCATCAACTAGTACTTTTCTTCGCAGATTCCTTTAGCCGCCCCTTAGTTACGAAGATGGCCTAATTTTTGCTTCTTAAAAAACTTTAGAACCTTCGGGAGAAAGCAAGCCGCTCTAAATTTCTCTAGGCTGAACTGTAAGTACTAGAAGCCGGAAATATGTAGAAGCTTTTTTAAAGAAGTCAAGCTATTCAGTACTTTCGTTCAATTCGACAGAGAGGTGGACGTGTTTGCGGTGGTGGTGGAGGAGGGAGGCACTGAGCCCCATAAGCCTTAAGCAATAATGACCTTGACAGAGTGACTTTGTTGATATCTAAAATGCAATTGCAAACGATTGCGATGAAGGTAATTTGATAGCATCGGCAGAAAAGGCATTCGTTAATGGGTCTTCGCACAAACAGAAATGGCAAATAAGAAGAGAAGCATTTGGAGTATGATGGAAAGAACTGCCTAAGTGACACTACCACAAGCGATCGCCGTCTTTGGAACCTCTTGGTGAAGGCAAACAAATCCACACTACTAACTCAGCACTGGTTCTTTATAGGTCTGGGAGACCATAAGGGAACACAAAAGTACAGACATCGCGGATGAGAGGACCAATGTAACACATTACTCAAAGTTCCAAAATAAGAAGTGTGTATTTAACTCCCACAACTTTTTTGACTAAAAAATTACTTTTTTTAGAATGAATTTATCGACTTCGTTTTTAAAATCATCGACATTTGGATAACAAATTGTGCTTGTGTTTGTTGTTTAACCATGCATTTTGCATGAGGCAGGCAATAGTGTCGACAATTCTGCTGTCGTTCGTTGGCGTCTACTAGGTGAATTCGCTCAACTTTAATAGCTTCCTACAAATGATAGAGGTTGGAAACTTTGTTCAGTGAGTCACTCTATCAATGCTACTTACTGCTGTTCTCTCATTTTCGACCCGTCCTCGGATCACAGGGTGTCAATTTTAACGTGATTTGCGTGGTTCAAACTTCTCTGCCCTACAACAAAGTGAGATCTGAATGGGCTCCAGTGGCTGCAGAACTTTTTTATCTCCTGTGGAGCATTCCACTTACGATGGCACAAAGGCTTCAAAGTGTAGTTCAAATTATGGTTCTCATAAATTAGTGCGTTGGGAGGTGGATCTGTACAACGAAGCAAGGAGGACTTTGTTCTCTTTGGTGGATACGCCTTAACGTTGAAGAGAGCAGACGAAGGTCTATATGTCAAGTGACGCACTGGATCATGCTAAATGTGGCCGTTGGTGACGAGGCAGTTAGGCGTGGGGAGTGACGAAAACCACTAACAAGCAGGTCCCATGCCCACTCATGACATATGTGTGCAAATGGTCCCCAATAGACTTGCAAACCTGCTAATTCCTTCCATGTCCGTCGCCTTCACGTGTGTCATAAAAAGGCAGCGTGCGTTTCAGATGGTTCGCTCTATGACTCAGTGGTAATGCATAATGGTCTTGTTGTTTTCGCCCACTGTAAGGCGATCAGGAGTACCAATCACTGCCCCACACGCCGCACACTTCCATTGTGGCAGCTCATGTTCATGGAGGCGCGCCTGCATTTATGTTTAGCAGTGTGACACTAAGCAGTCATGACTTGTGAGATCCATCTTTCTTCCTCTTCCCACCAGAGAGAAACAATCAGTAAATGGTTTGAAGAGCATGCTCTTCCACGTCCCGCCCCATTTTTCCTCACAAAATCATTTGGTACGCAATAATAATAAAAATTGGAGAAAGGGGCTGTCATCCATTGTGGGTAATGCTGAGAAGGCATGGTGGCGTTGAGAGTGGAGGCAGTTAACGCTAGTAACCGGCGTCGAGTTAAAATTGGGTAGAGAGTGATGAAGTAGGCTCAACATTGCGGTATGGGTGGCTTGGTGTAGACTTTTTGATTTCCAGACGACAAGATGCCTAACAAGAGTGAAATTTGAGGTTATAAAATATCTCAGAAAGTCTTCCCTTTTCTTGATTTCTCCGCTCTCTGACAGAAATCCAGCACCGTTTTAGAGGTACTCCAAAGTTTTTCTAAGAGCACTTGACACCTATTTCCAGTCGCTTCACGGCGAACATGAGGCGCAATCTTTTCACCGCAAGAATACCTTGCACATGTCTCATTCTTCCTACTTAGTACACCTGCCACTACTCTCCACTATCCTCTTTTTCCCAACGACTAACTTTTCAAGGCCTACCGTTATGGCACAATACTTCAAGTTGGAAACAACCGTCAAATGTGTGCTGCAGTTAGATGATCGAGACTAATTTTGAAAGTCTCCTTTGGTGGTTTACATTGTAAAAAAGAATTCAGTGTAAAAATTGAGTTGATAGAACTCACCAGTCACTTGTAAGTAGAAGGATTCACTTCTGATGAAAAGGGATCCTTAAATTAGTCTTCTGTAAATAATAATAATTTTACGGCAGTATTCTACAATTTCTTGCGTCCCTTCGCGACACCCTCATCAGTGCCCTGGACGACGATGCGGCTTGGCGCGATTCCGAGGAGAGAGGAAAGACCTATGTGATTCATTGTCATTGCCTGCGCGAGTGGAGAGGGCAGAAGAAAGACGATACCTAGCAAAGTTAGGTGCCCATTTGTGTGCGTGCATGAGAAAGAGAAA